GGGTGGGGGTGGGTGGGGGGAGGGTATGTCGTTATTAGAACTTGTGGAGAACGACTGAGGCCTGCTCTGTGAATGTTTCTAAAGCTGCCTACATACCTGGCTGGGGGCAATCGTTGGAGCTGACTTTTAGACCTTCTGGAATGGGAGTGACCTCTTCCTAGGAGAGCAAGGGCCTGAGGAATTATTCATACTTTTTTTTGGTCCAGGAAGTAGAGAAGCGTCACTGGGGTCGGGGAGGCTTGGGCATCTTTCTAGTTGTAGAGCAGGTAGAAAACTCGACTCAGAAAAAGGGGCTCTGGCAGAATAGCAGTTAAGCACATGGCTGCTAACTGAAAAGCTGCTGTTTGGGCCACCTAGTAGCTCCCTGGTGCTACGGTGGGTTCGAAACCACCAGTCGCTCCGTGGGAGAAAGATGAGGCTTTCTGCTCCGGTAAAGCTTTACAGCCTTGGAAACCCACAAGGGCAGGTCTACCCTGTCCTATAGGGTCCCTGTGAGTCGGCATCAACCCCTTGGCAGTGGGTTTTCTTTTTAGTTGAGTGGCTCTGTGGGAAAGACATGGCGATCTGCTCCTGTAGAGAGGAAACAACAACAAACAAACTCACTGCCACGGGTTGATGCCGACTCACAGCATCCCTTCAGGACACAGCAGAACCACCCCGTGTGTTTCTGAGGCTGTAACTCTTGGCAGAGCTTTCTGCTCCGTCTTTCTCCCACAGAACGGCTGATGGTTTAGAACTGCTGACCTTGCAGGTAGCAGACCGACGTGTAACCACTAGGCCACCGGGGCTCCTCCTGTAGAGATGAAAAACCCAAACCCAAACTCACTGCCATCGCGTCCATGCTGACTCATGGCGACTCCCCGTGGGTCGGTTTCCCAGCCTGACTGTCTACGGGAGTGGAAAGCCCAGTCTTCCTCCCCTGCTTCTCACCACCAGGGCTCCTCCGCCAGGGATTCCGACCCAGACAGACCCACAGGGCCAGCTCTCCTCTGCTACGAGCCAGAATCAACTCAAGGGCAGACAACCTCAAGAAAAACCCTCGTCAGAGGGTGGGGGCCTTGTGCGGGAGCAGGGACCGCTGAGAATGGGTTTGGGCATGATTCTGCTGCTTAAGTTGAACGGGACCTTAAACTGGCTCAGGAGACAGTCGGCCTGCTGAGGGTATGGGAGGCGCACTCACTGGTCACCATGAGTGTGAATTGACGGTGGCAGTGAGAGTCGGGTTGAAGGAACATGCAGAAGGCAAGTGTCTGCCGAGGGAGTGACTCGCTGTGCCCGCTCTACTCGGTCACGCTGCTCCCAAGACGCCTGGAGGGGGCCTCGTTCTAGAAGGGCCCGGTGAGGTTTGGTCCCAAGGAGAAGGCGTGTGGTTGCTGGTCCCACTGATGAGCCTTGAGATTCAGGCTGAGTCGTTTCCCACATCACTGGAAAACGTCCCACTTGGAGGCCACCCCTCTGAGCAGAGGGGGCATCTAGCTTCCCTGCAGACTTCCCTGGCCTGGCAGGACATTCCAGGCCGCATCTTGAGCAAAGACACTGGATTTCCGGCTCGTGCCCTGTGGCCTGGTCCTTGCCATCCAAGTCCTTGGGTGCTGCCAATGGTTATTAGGCTCTGCTGCTTATGGAAAGGTTGACAGTTTGAGCCCACCCAGGGGTGCCTCAGAAGAAAGGCCCGGCTGCCCACTTCTGAAAACTGAGCTGTGGAGCTCAGTTATACTCCGATACTCCTGGGTCCCCCTGAACTGGAGTCTCCTTCCTGGCAACTGGCTGGGTGGTTTGGGGTTCCGTCACCTGCAGCTGCCTCACAGATCGGAAGGTGGATTCCCCCAGGCCACTGTGTGACCATGGCTTCCTGCCGATTTTCTCTCCTTGTTTTATCAATGTTCAGTTGGTCGGGGAAGTTGCTTCTTAACATTTCCTCCCAAAGTTGGAGTGTGTGTATGTGTGTGTGTGTGTGTGTGTCACCAAGGTGGTAGGCAAGCTGTGGCCTTGTGTCCTCTGTGCTCACGAGCCTGGGCTGCCTTTGAATGAACAAAGACTCGGTAACTGACCTGCTCAGAGCACAACCTCAGAGGCCCTGACCCCCTGACCCCCTGCGCCCGTGTCCTGGGGCCTCATCTCTTCTTTCGAAAACAACTGGCCCGGTTTCTGTGGGGACAAGGGATGGGGCCGGGGTGGACATAACGACTGGGACAAAGGGCTGGAGTGGGCATGCTCGGATGACAGCCAGACTGTGCAGTTAGCTCTCTGCTTCCCCTCCCTGGGACTTGTCCCCTGGTTTCAGCCTCTCTTGGCTGTCAGGAGGAGGCACAGAAATGCGGCCTCGTTCCTCTACCCCAACCCTTCAGGACCAAAAGATGTGCTACATTCTGATTCCTTAGAGGATCCGGTGCACATGTCCTCTTATGGGGCGTGCTGGTTGGGGAGGTGTGTGGCCAGCTGGGAGACGCCTGGCTCTCAACAGCACTGCACTTGCCAGACAGACCACCAGGGGACTCCTCGGCCTCAGACGTGGAGACCCAGGCTCTGACTCCTCAGACTCCCGTGCTTGAATGGGTGAGGTGGGCTCCCGGTTTCTTGCCTCGCTAACATACCCACCCCCCCACCCCACCCCCCGGAAGCAGCACATCACACTTCATCGGGTGAAGTGAGAAAAACCGATACCAGCTAGCTTCCAGCAGAACCCAATTTCCTTTTCAGAGTCACTCAGGCATTGAAAAAAGAAGCCAAGGTTCTCTCACTGTTTGGTAAGGGGCTCAAGGGAGCTTAAGATATGTCATCAGGCTCGGGGTGGGGGTGGGGGAATGCCCATGGGCTCTGTGAGGGGTGTTTGCGATCTT